CGGGGGCAATAATTCAACGATTTTGCCAACATTTCGGTTCGGCGGTCGACCCGCGCGCGCACGGTCGACGGAGGACCTCTATGACATACTACGGCCGGCGGCCAGAAATAATAAATAAATACTTCTATGGCCGCGGCTAGCCCTATGGTTGTTTTTGTCCTTGAATAGATCTAGCATTGTATCAGATTCTTCTCTCGACAAGCGCACGGCCGTTAAAAAACGCGACACTAGAGGAATGGCACCCAAGAAGGTCTATGTGGGCGACGCGTCGCGACGATGGTCGCTAGCGATGCCCCCGTCGCTGGCAAGTTTGTTTCGCACCTAGACGCGGAACACGCGACAACCTTGTAGGCAAGTTTCCAGCAGCGAGTCCGCCGCGCCTACAAGCTGAGCGACGGCGCGGCCTTGGAAATCTGGCTCCATCCCCTGGCGCATCGACAGGCCCCTTCCTATGGCCGTGAGCTCATCCGGAACGAGTCGGAGTACAAATGTATCGTCGACGACGACGTGATCGTGATCGTCGTGACCGGTGGCCAAGCGCTCCGGCCCAACGAGGCACTCCTGGCCGAATTCAACGGCGAGACGACCTATAAGAGCGACTTCGTGCCAAAGTCCCGGAAGCCACGCGCGTCGCCGCGCGTTGAGTCGCGATGGCAGCACGAGCACGAAGTGAGACCTGGCCCTGGCGCCTCGGCGCACGCGGCGCCGCCCGCGGCCTTTGAGGTCCCGGCGCAGTACCAGACGACCTACAGTCGCGACTACGGGAAAAAAACCATCCATTACAAGGAGCGCAAACCGTACGAGCCGGCGGAGCGGCGAAAAGAAGACGAGCCGTTTCTTGGGCAAACGACCTACGGCCGCGACTACGTCCGTAAGCGCCTCGACCCCGCCAAAACGCCGCCCAGGTTCGTGTTCGGAGGCCTGGACGTCGTCACCTTCGGCGCACGGCGCAAGCATACGACGTTCAGGAACGACTTCGTCGGCTACGCGCTGAAACCACTCGAACGCCCCCCGAAGGCGGAGAACGCGCCCGCGCCAAGGGGGGCTGTGTGGATGGCCACGGAGTACAAGGGCGAGTACATCGGGCGCCGCGCCCCCTCTCCAAGGCCGCAAAAGACCATCGCTGAGTTTGCTCCTTTGGAGTTTGCCCCTCCTACTTCCACGACCACGTATGCGCGCGACTTCCACACCCATCCCCTCCACGGCGCGCGCCAAATCCACGTCGACCCCCTATCAGAGGTCATTCTCCTCTGAGGACTCCGGAAACTAACCGTGACGGGGGAATAAGGCAGGGGGACTCCGGAATTAAAATCACATGAGAAATGGATTGCACAGGGGGACTGTGCAGTCCTGCCCCACGGGTACCTCTTTTGCGCTTTCAACCACCTCCCGCATGCTGTCGTGCCGAACCTTCCTGTCTCTGATACGACACCTGAGCGGGTGTGGTGCGCCTTGTTCAGTTAACTTTAATAGTGGCCCTAGCTCCTTGACTGCGTGTTCTAATAACTCTCTATGTTCAAGGGTTGAGGGCTCGAGTGACAGAGCAGCCTCTGCTGCGTTGTACGGTTGCTACACTTCTGGCGGTTGGTAATCGTCGTCTATGGGTCTGACTTTGCCGAACACGGCTTTGTTCACACGCTTCATTATGGCCGGCTCGACGACGCAGCCCGGCGCCATGATGAGGAGGGGGAGGGGCGCGCCCATCGCACGGCGCTGCTGCCGCCAGCCGAGGCCGCGCACCACGACGCTGTCCGCCATGACAACGCCGCTGGCCGAGACGAGCTGCGCGATGCGCGTCGATGATTGGCCGAGAGCCCATATCATCATGACGTGCAAGGGCAAACAATGTGTATATCAAACGAGGGATCTCGCCTCGAGCCATGAACAATGTCATTCGACCATCACAGCTTGGAGAGTCGGGCTTCCTGTGCGGATCTCGACCGGCGGACTGCGCGCCAACGCCGACCGCTCGGCGCCGGCGGCTGCTGCTGTTGGGGCTGCCCAATCGTCGCTGCCCGGCGGGCGAAAAAAGCGCCGGACGGAGAGACGACCCGAGGAGTCTGGCGGCGTCCACGGACAAGTTCGCC